TGTCTTCATACATTTCATAGTTAATAAACTGAATGCAATATTTAGTATCTTTATATATTATCTATTGTTGCCTCTGCTTTAAAATCCCAAATCACTTAGTATTTTGTTAAGTTTTATGTAGACTTTTGGATAGAACCTGTCAAGTTATAGTCATTATACTATAGTTGAGCAGCTTCTGTTATTACTGTGGTTAAAAGAAAAACTACAGGTTAACACCAGTTATAGCCCCATTAGATATATGCAATTTTTTAATTTCAGCAGGACGAATGCAGAGCATTATCATTACATTAGCTAGGGCCTGTTTGTTAGATATATTAGATACATCATATTCATCCAATTTTTTCTTGACCGATTCTAACAAGAAGTGGTCTGGAAAATCTATTTCTTCATTTTTGTATTGCTCACTATGCTCTTTTTGAACTTTATTAGATAACCTAGTTACCTCCGGATTCAATATAGCAGAAATTATTTTTTCTGAAGCGTTGAGGGGCCGTAATTTTCTTCAAAGCCTTAAGAGGCAAGATAAGGCAACAATGGCATTAGAAGATGTTTCAACTAAGATTCTAGATATTGTTTTTACATTTTTTTCACTAAGTTTATCTTTCATAATACACTGAGCCATTTGTTTGATAGTCACCTCTTCTAGAGTGATATCAGATGCTAAGCATATATTCACATCCACTCCTTCTTTGAAAGTTACTTGGCTTTTATTCCACCCAATTCTCTCATGAGAAATTAATGCAAATACTTGTTCTTTGCTAAATTCATACTCTTTTTGAAGGTGATTACAGGCCTGGCGCCTTTTTTCTTTATCTACTAGTAGTGTGCCAGTTGTTAAGAGCTTAAGTATTTCTGGCACATATTGGCTAAGCTCTTTGAGACTCATCTCATTGGTAAGTTTGTGGTCTGTGATGAATTTGGTTGTAATAGCAGACATGATATGGTAAGTAAAATATAGGGTAAGTGTTAGATTAATCTGTAATTTTTAGATTATATATTTTAGGAAAAAAGTTTAATTCGAAAAATTTTTTTGAAGCTATACTTCTTTGAAAAGAGAAATATTAGAGATGGTTCTTGTCTAGGTTAAGAGAGCGAAAAATATTATAACTTAAATAAGTAGCCCCTTTGGGACCCCACTTGCTCTGGCCGGAAATACCTAGGTTTTACAGAATTTGAAATTTGCAAGTAGATAGAATAACAAAAAAAATAGCTATAGAATTCTCATTCCAAAGCTATAAACAAATTTAAGGTCTAAGACCTATTTTGTGATCACATTTTAATAAAGTGCTTGCACTAGAGCTAATATATGTTTTGGTCCTAAAACATTTGCCTCAGTGAACGCATCATATAAAGCACCTGGTCTATGTTTCAAAGGAGCTAAATTTGGATGATGGAGGAATTTTATAAGTACATTACTTCTTCATTCCTGTGTTTTTTTACTATTCTAGTTGATTTTTAATAACTCGTTTGTAGCACTATCATTATATACTTTGAATAAAATTTCTAACAAACTTACTTTTCTATTAATTAACATAAGTAAACTTTTTTCTGGATCATATGCGATCTCATTAGATATAAAAGAAAGGTATTCTCTCAATATTGGCATTTTATTGAATAGCAGAATTAAAAGTTTTTTCTCTTTCCAATGCATATAGCCTTCACGTAGCAATTTATTATACGTTGACTCATTTATAATAATCATGCAATTAGTTTTGGGATTATAGATTTTTTTTTGAGATTTATCTGTCAGTTGGTCCAATATGTCTATAACGTTTGTATAAAAAAATGTTTTATCTCATCATAATATCGATTAATTTAAATACACATTTTATTATAAAATTAAAAGTAAAAAGAGTTTTATATTCTAAAATACTTTTGCTTTAGCGCCTCTGGTCATGGCTCACCTTACTTGTACACATATCAAGAGGGATGGTACCGTTTGTAAAAATAATTCCTGGTGCCCTACAGGGTGTTATAGGCACTGGAAATTATATAAAAAAATATAAAAAAAAAACCTTGTATTGTTTGTGGATTTCCTACTGCTTCTATCATGGGTTGTTGCCCCAAACATTCTGCCAAGTTTCATGCACTAAATTATCGAATGAGGCAAAAGTATAGGGCCAAGGTCTCAGAAAACTTCTAAATTAACTGCTGGAGAGTGAGTAAAAAAATATATTTCAAATATGTAGACTTCTGCAGAATTATTATATAAAATATTGGCAGAAGCCTACATCTCAAAAATATGTACCCTATTAGATTTTATATTAATATTTCATCAGGTGAAAGCTTGCTATACTCATTTCGAGTATTTCTTTCATTTTCCCAGTAAATTTCTTTTCCCATTTGGTATGGAGGTAATGCAGAAGTGTCTCTACTATCAAAAGATTCAACTAGATAGTAATATCTACAATCCTTGTCTATAGCCTTAAATTTTAACTCATACATTGAATGTAGTGCTAAATTCAGTAAGCCGAGTTTCGCTCGAACTGTTTTTAATTTCGATTTTTTAGCTCTGCATAATGCATCTGTATTGTCAAACACTCAAGCCATTTTAGGTACTAAGTCCTGAAGATATGATATTGACTCAGAGGAATCCATGTGTATTTTGACATCATTAGTTTTATATCATATCCTATCATCAATGTCTTTAGCAGATGTACAATTTCTTAGTAACTTTAGACAAATTCGATGTCTTTCCGTACAAGTAACAGTTGTAAACCTATCTTCTCTATAATTTTTACAGGTGATTGCTCCAACAGCTGTTTCATTGTCAATACCAGCATCTCGTAATTGCTTATAAGCTCTAAACCATTTCATATGATTATAATTCCCATATTTTAAGATAAATTTCTCAGTTAATGATTTAGATGAAATCTTATAACAATCTGCAATATGATGTCAGTCTAAAGAGCGTATCTCTTCTAAAGTCTTTTTCGGCTTGTTTTCCAAAAATTCAGCAGTCTTACGATTAACAATAATAGCATTAGTTATTGCTGATATTTCCTCTGCTTTAACAGTAGCAGAATTCATCTTCACAACTTGAGATAATGAAATAACATTGACATTGGATTTAGAACCAAATTCTATGATAAAAATTATCATATCTGCCTCTCTAAGAAAATCAATCATTCTCCAACCAAATAACTGCTAAGAACAGAATTTTTCCAACATGAATGCTACCCATAATCAAATGGTTGGTACATCTTTATTCTGAATAATAGAATCAATATCTGGAAATATTTCTCTATTCTGAAGTTCTTGGAAAGACATTCACGTTTAGCATTTAATAACCACTGAAATAGCCCCTTTTCTATAATGGAAACATTAGAAGATCTTTGCTCGATATAATATATATAATCATTAATGCACCACATGCAAAATAACATCTGATTCATCCTAGCATTTGTTTCTATATAACTGTTAAAGAAGCAGATTGCTCATTCAAACTTAAAATTGGTGCAAGACATTTCTATCTTTAGAGTACTAGTATATGCAACTAGATCTGCATCTCTTTATGCTTCTTTAACATTGCTAAAATCGCAAGCTTTTTCTACAGGATCAGATTTGCTATAATATTTCTTAATTCATAATTCTGGAAAATCAGTTTTAATGGCTCGAATAATTCCTTGTAAATCCTTCCTGAGATGACAAATAAGTGATGAACTTTTCTGATTCCTGAAAGGTAATAAGGATGTTCACTTAGCCCAATCCCAAAGTTCAGCTAACATGGTTTCTTTATTAGGAGCTAGATGGAACATCTTACCTTTCTGAGGCTGGTAAGTATTATGAATAATGGAGAAAGGTATATTCTTGCGAAGGGCCTTAATCTATTCAATATTGAGGTCCATTAGGTCATTATCCATAACAATAATGTGCCTAGCTTCTTGGATTAACTTATATAGTTTTTCAATTGATTATCCAACCAAACGACCTTGTGTCTAAGCAATTATAGACACTATTTCATCTAGCCATAAATCATATAGACGAGAAGAACATTTATATTTTTTATTACATTTGCAATTATTAGTAATATGATGCAAACTCTCTATCTGACATACCACTCTCTTGTAATCGGGTAGATTTATATTACTATCGATTTCACAATATGATTTGAAATTGAGTCTTGTAGTTATAGCATTTGAGTAAGAGTGGTGTGTAGATAGTACTAGCAAATTTATATCATCAGAATAGCCAAATTTTCAAGAGCATATGTTTTTCTTGTTTCCCAAGATGACTCTACATAAATATCGCCCGGTTCCTCTAGGCTCTTTTTATTGGATAGTGGTCTTACATACCTTTTTTTGTAAGTTTCTGTAGCCGTAAGAGACTCATTATATTTGACCCAAGATGGTATTTTTACAAAAGCTCTTGAGAAGCCCGAGCCTTTTACCTTGCGAGAAAGTTGTAGTAAAATTTTATTTTTTTGCAAAATTTTTTCCACAATAGATGGGTCGCATTCAAAAACCTTCCTAGGTTCATTACTATCTTGCTGGAAGCATTTTACAATAAATGTTTCACTACTAGCACATACATGACTAAACTACTACTGATTCTTGTCATGTATGCATTTGCAGAGTGGGCATTCTAGTAAGGCCTTCTGGTTAAAATATACAAAGTTTTGTGAATCCCTTTCTTCAATAGTCCAATCCCTAAGATAATTAGAATATTTTTGCAAAACTAGGTCTGCATATTTTTGTAACATATTCTGGCTTACATTTATCCTTAGCAGATTATTATTTTTTTCTATGCTAAGTAAACGAGGTCTTACTTCAAGACATAAACTACCAAGTGGTTGGACTCTAGTATGATCAAGTTCGTTTCATCCATTGTTTAGTGAAAACTAAAGGATACATTTCATGTGACCTTTTTTTGCTAAACCAATAAGCCATAGATTAAAATTTTGGCCAGGCAATCCTTGATCAATAAACTTACCATATTTTCCATCTGTTAAGGTATATACTAATTTGGTAAATGCTTTAAGCTTACAATAATCGATGAGAAGAACTGGTACATATGAAATATAGTAACTGCATTTGCTAGGATCTGATGATATAGTAATTATTAACCCTTTGAGAATATCTTCTTAGCCACAGTCAAGAATTCAGTACAAAGCTCTTATGAAAGAGCAACAGATTCAAATGAATACTTCTTGTCCCTTAACACCAGCTGTTTCCATGTCTTCTTTTGACGCATCGATATTAATCACAGCTCTTAAAGGTTTTTGACCATTAATGCATTCATGAATCCCAGGTAAACTATATACTTCGGAAATGTCATTTGCAACAGAAAACTTTGGTGCCCGATTAGCATCTTGGTCGATTTTGATAACTAATTTATCTTCTACTTCATTACGATCATAAGCATTATATAAACTAGAGCCTTTTTCATTTAGAAAGAGAAATGAATAAATTGGAAGGCAATCTAATAAGCCTTTATCATTTGACATATCTTTAAACAGTAATGAGAGAATTTTCTGAATACTATTTAGCAGGTCCTTGAGAGTGAAATTGTTATTAAACTTTTCTTGTCTTAAAGTGCATATTGCATTACTCTTTTCCTCTTGTATGTTTGATAACTGAAATAATAGAATCACAGTAGTGCTAGTTGAAGTGCAGAGAGCTTTTTAACTATCTGATTCACAATTGGACTCATAGTTATTATAATCATCTGATCCCAAATCAGAATCATTATCATAACTACTTGAGTTACTTAAATATTTAATAATCTTGGCATCATCATAGCAGGCGAGAGGGCCAGTTCCGGTGTGAGCAGTTTGGTCAAAAATAGTTGTGATATGCATGATGTTAGTTCGAAAAGTTATACTATCTCTATAAAATCTGAAAATGTTTAAACTATTTTTTTTGATGGATGTAAAAAAGACATGATGGTGAACTTGATAATCAAATCGTAAAATGAAGACACCTGGATATGCATCTAAAAGTGCAGGCTTCTGCGTAATCTATTATATAAATATTGGCAGAAGCCTATACTTTTCTAGGTATATACTTAGGTATAGTGAAAGCAAATGCATTCTTGATAGGTGGAATTCAGGGTAAGTTCATAATAATTATATTCTGATGTGATTTTTTTCAATAAATGCAATAAAGAAGCTATAGCAAACTTAGTTAACAAATTGTAAATAGAAAGTAAGTGGGTATGTATCTGAAAATGGAGCCTTCTTTGGAATTATTATATAAAATAATAGAAGAAGGCTTTACTTTCTAGATATGCACCCAGGTGGTAAAAAGAAAAACATCTGGAGGAATCTTATATCAAATAATGGAAGAAGAATACCTTATTGCTAGTATGAACCTGGGTATATGTTGAATACTAGGGCAGGCAAGAGTGTAAAAAGAAGGCATCAAGATATGTATCTGAAAGTGTAGGCTTCTGTGTAATTATATTATATAAAGATGGCAGAAGCCTACACTTTTCTAGATATATAGTTGGATATAGTATGAACTCAGACATGGTATGAAGGCTTCTGCAGTATTATTATTATAAAATATTGGCAGAAGCCTTCATCTTTCTAGATATGTAATCAAGTAATAATTAAAAGTCTCGATGACCAAAAATGGCATTCAGGTATGCATCCAAAAGTATAGTCTTCTTCGGCATCTTTATATAAAAAATTGGAAGAAGACTACACTTTTCTAGATATGTACTCAGGTGTGAGGTAATTTCGAAATTGCTTAAGAACAGCAATATATGGCTGGTAAGTGTAGAAAATTATGATTATTTCGGTCAGATCTTTGGGCATAAAAATTCAGCATCCAAGCTGGCATAAAAATGGTCTAAAACTAGGAACAAACAGAATTTCTCTGGCATCCTGCCAGTGCCACGATAGTTCTAGGCATTATCAAGTCACTATTATGATGCTGAGTCGAATCCTCAAATCACATGTCCTAAAGATCAGCCAGAATTATGTCATAGAGCTGGCCAAAATTAATTATGAATCTATTGTGCTACCTGACACAAATTTTTTTTTACCACATTTTGGCATCTAGAAAGGCAATCAAATAGGTGCAAAAAGGTAAGTACTACAATATAGAATCAAGTATCCAGATCAGCACAGAGGGCCAGCACCTCCAACATAGAACCAGACATCCAAACAAGTATAGAAGGCCAGTACCAACAATAAAGAATTTGATGTGTAAATAGATTAGGAACAAGAAGGAAATAGCAGTATTTAGATCACATACTGGTAGCTAGATTAAATAGTAGGTGGTAGTTAGATCGTATGGTGGTAAAATATAAATAACAGAAAGAGTTCAAAGAGATAGCTAGAACATAAAATAGATATCCAATATAGGAAATATATAGATTATATAGTAGTAATTAGATTACATGTTTAGATTATATAGCATTTATTAGATTATATT